TGAAAAGCAAACAAATTCGGCAAGTGCACTTGAAGTGCAAAGTTACTTCTTAATTGGTTAGTCCAAGTATTTCAAAGATTTAGCTTTGATTTTATTAAAGGACTGAGTGAGTAAATTTGTGTATGTTACGTTATCAAAATATTTTCATTTATCCCATTAATACATAAATTGCATTAAGTCTTTAGCTAAGCAAAATTAGTTTTAATCTCAAATCTTCTTTGAAGTAGAATACTTCAAATGTGCAGAACATGCACTGCAGGTGGATGTAGACTCCACAAAGGAGTCTGTGGCAGCTGTCAAAATGTTCAAATCTCTCATATTAATTTGAATATTAATATATAATTAAATAAAGCACTAAAGCTTATAAAAATATAATTTGTTTTAAACAAATTTAAACAAAACAAATATATTTTTAATATTTTTAGTGCAATTATTTTGTTATGAAATTTATCATTAGGTAAAAGAATTCTATTTAGTGTATTTGTAATTGAATTAAAATATTTTTAAAATACTCTAAAATATTCATATTCATTATGGATACTATTGTTTTCATATGAAATAATAAAAAAATAAAATATGGGTATATATAAATATTTTCAACATTGTATGAATTATTTGTTTAAAATAATGAAAAATATATTTTGCATGTTTTTGTGTACTTTGATTTTTATAATTATTTTTATTTGTGATGTAAAATAAAAGTAAATAACAGAATTCACAGAAAAAACGGTAACTTAATTTTGTAAGTAAAATATTTATATAATTTTTAATAAACACACATATATATAGATATAACAAATAATTTTTTTAACATAATGTCCTTTATTAAGTATGAATATGCATGTTTCATCCACATATGATGAATAAAATAAACAAGCGTACAAAAGTAAACTCACAAATAAATTGCATAAATTTTGCACGTTGTACCCATAATATACTCCTTCCAAAAAAAAAAAAAATATTTATTTATAAATTAAAAAATAAATTCCATTCAAGATGTAGTCATGAAAAAATATAATATTTTTGTATGTAAAACAACTCTAGTACATCCTCGTATATATTTTTTGTGTAATTGTTCCTGTTGCATGTTTTAAGCATGAATTTTGGTCTCATTATTTACCGTGATTTTTTTCCGTGTATTTTATTTGTTTGTATGTGTTTTGCTCTTAAAACGAAATTCGTTAAAATTTGAACAAAAACTACAACAAAAAAATCCTTTCCCCTTTTTTTCGTTTGTTTGTACGTTAAAAACCCAAAAATAGTGCACCAACCATACCAACACAAACAACTCCAATTCGCACTTGCAATCCCCCAGCAGTGAGGATAACATTCAAGAGGATGATGAAGAGGAGGAGCATGTGGATGAAATCGAAACGGATCAATACGATGAAGATGCAAATAAATTCAGCAATGCAATTATGAATGCTATGACGACAATGTCACCAACTTTAAACAACAACTATAACAATAGCAATAGCAATAGCAATAGTAATAGCAATTTGAGCAACCCTACCAACATAAAATTTAATAGTAGCAACAATGGCAGCAACAACACTAACAACAATGGTATTCATAATAATGATAGCAATTTTAATGAGCAGCTGTCATCTCCCACAGCAGAAACTTCAACAAAGTCGTCAACGTCAAATAAGATTAATTCCATACCAACATCCGCAACAGTTTCCGTTTCCGCAAATGTTTCCGCTTTACAAAATATTAATCTTGATAATTGTAATGCAAATGTGAATGTGAATGCTACCAAAAAACACGCAAGCAACAATACCACAAATCCCTCTACCCCAACTCATAATACACCAACAAAACCAACAACCAATATCGACAATTTTAATTCCTTGAATGCTAACAACATGCTCAATCGCAATCAAACTTCAAATACAAATCAAAATCAGAACGAAATTCTAAATCAAAATCATAATCAAAATCAGAATCAAAATCAGAATCAGAATCAAAATCGTAATCGAATTCAAAATTCACATTCAATACAAAATCAGAGCCAGAATCTAATTCAGAATCAAAATCAAAACATTTCCTCCAGTTTAGAGATAATCCTTTCGCCAATTATTCAAAGTAGTCGACGGTAAGTTTGAATTGTGTTTTACCTTTCCTCAAATAAATTACATTTAATGTTTTTAGAACGAATATAATTATTTAGTTAATTTGTTAATACATATAATAAATTATATTCCTTTGAAATATAAATTTAAGTTACTTACATTAATTAGATTTACTTTTCCAAGGTTTATATGAAATGAAATGAAACCCTCCCAATTGATTGCATGCATTTAATTAAAAATTAATTAAATTAAAATCAGTGATTAAAAAAAATTTCAGAAGATATATAAAAATTGAATTTTTATAAAAACAAAAACCATAGAAGCTGAAATGTCAGTAAATCAACTGATATATATCCAAATCTCGATATCTCCAATCAATATCAGATTTACGATATCAGTTTCACTGATCACTGCATAGATTACATTCTATAACTTACGCGTAAGTTCCAAGTACATATATTAGAAAATAAAAAAGGTTTATGTGGTAGCTGTTTTTAAATCTGAACCGATATGAATAAAATTTTATATAAGTTATTATAGACAGTTATAGTTACGTCAAATGTGAAATTCAATGTTAAAATGTACACCTATCAATTGTAAATATATGTATTTTTATTTGGATATATCTATAACCATGTGTATACAAAAATAATTACTTTGTAAAATAATTATAAAACTAAAGAGATGACAATTCTGATCTGAACAAAAACAGTGAAAAATTGACGAGATCAGTTTTTTAAAAAGGGAGAAAATTTATATCCGATTATTCAGTTTATGTTGCAGTAATAGAATATAGTACTCCTATTTTTGTCAATCTGACAAATGATCAGCGCCTAGTCCCGAAAGGTATCTGTGTCAAGTGTGATTTAATTAGATTTATAGACAAAGCTAGTAGATATATCGGACATATATATACGTTATAGGATTTACAAATGTAACATGAAATCTTAGCAAACATAATACCTAATCCGTTTTAAGAGGAATTATTAATTATTAAAGAGTATTGTTTTCATGTAATGAAATGGTTTTAATTGATTTTAGTTTGCAAGAAAAATCTCGAGTTTATTTAATATTAAATATACATTGAAGCCACAGTGTGTGACTTGAACCTACTAAAATAACCTCTTAGGAATGAATGAAGAATATTTTCACAACAATGTGGAAACTTCATTTTAGTAATTAGGAAAGAGAGATATGTGCAAGTCATATGCTAGTCAGTGGACTAGAATTAAATAAACCAGAAAGCATGGGCATGGCACAGCTAGGTAGTGAGTAGGTGGACGGGGGTATTAAATATACATATAGCATAAAGTAAAATATGTCCAGAAAAATTATTATAATTATAACATATATAATATTAAAATTTACACATATCTTCTAAAGGCAAAGGAACGCAGAAAAATCTTCATCGACATGCCAATTCAAACTGTTTTCGGTATATTAGAATATACTATATTATATTAATTGATACTACTTAAATAATTCATACATAAAAAAGGATGCTAAAAGTAGTATGAAAAAATATAATCATCTTATCCTTAGCCATATGCTGATTTATATAAAATTTTACATTATTAAAAAATATTTTTCTACTTTAAAAAGCTTATTGAGGAATTGAGCTTGTAATCAATTTTTTTATTACTTGATTTCCTATGATATAGAAAATCAGAAATTTTGCTTATGGAGATCTACTGTTTTAATTATTAAATACATATAAAATTATTTTTCATTATCTGCATCACATAAAGATGGTCTTAACTTGCGATGTAAATTTTGGCGCCAGTGTTCAGGTACACGTAATTTCTGTCTTGGTGCACTTTTGTCAACTGCAGTTTTTTTAACAAATGGAGACCAATAGTGTGTAGCTGAAATACCGCAATTAAGCCTAGTGAAACTCTCATATGATTGAGCTTTTTCCTGAGACTTGTTAGCCAACTCTTCAGCATGTGGTAGAAAATTATGTTGTGTTGGTATTCCAGAGCTCGTATTATTGAAATTATCACAAAACTGGAAGTTTCCAAGAATATGCTCATTTAAACGCGACTTCTCTAAAAATTGTGAAGAGTTAAGTGTGATATCACTTGCCTTCAGATGATGGTTGTTTTCATGCGGTTGTTTAGTTTCGTTGGATTCTTTCTTTCCTTTCTTTCCATCTATTGTAGGTATTTGTTTAATATCAGATTTTCCGAACTCACAAAATCTATTTTCTATACGATTCATTTGTTCATCCATATACTTTAAGTTGGATTTCATATCATATAAATTTTGTAATAGATTCTCACTCAGTATAGACTCTGCAACATCGGTACCTGACGTAAGTTCATCTGAGCAAACCTTAATGGGTTGTGGGTACGCATCGAGGTCAAAAACTTTTTCATTTTTCTAAAAAAAAATGTTTTTTACTAATATATTTATACTTTCAACACAGCGCTCACCTTTAAAAACTTTTGTTCCTTATTTAAATTTTTGTTGATTTTTGCAAGTGGATCATTTACAGTAGATTCCATTATTTATGTTAAAGTGCCAAAAATGTTAATAATAATATATCAACAAACTAAAATTTTGGAATATTGTGTTTGAAAGTAAATATTAATTATGATTTGACAAAGAATTTTTTTTTAGTATTTATACTTGTGCTGCTGGGTATATAACAAATTTAAACTTTGTAACGAGTACTAGATCTTAAATTTAAAGTCCAAATACCAAATTTATAATGCACTTAAATATTAAAAAAATATGTCATACAAATAAAACAATTTTAATCTTTTACAAAGTTTCCTTATGGATTTCTCGGGTCTCTGTGTGGTCTCAGACAGCCGGTTATATTTACCTTATGATTATAAAATTTGTTTGTTTTGGCTGTTTGCCCTTTTTTTGCTAGACCAAGTTAATTCCTTCTTATCTTTTTTAAAAAAAAAATAAATATTCTTAAAACTGAAATTACAAATTAAATTATATGATCATTTTGTATTCACAGAAATGTGCTCATGAACAAAATTTTAAAAACTAAAATAAAGGTGGCTATATTAACCGTAATCTACTAGTTGCATTTGGAGTGTTAATCTAAGAAAAGAATTTTTAATATTTTCATTTATCTTAACTATTGTAGTATAATATATCTATTCCTATGAGAACGCATGTCACTTCACTATTATTGAGAGAACTTACATGATTCGTTTTCCTTAAGCATAGATAATATCCTGCTGGAAATGACAGTACTATAAACCTACATTGTTTGCATCTCATATGGCATACTTGGTTCTATAGGATCTAAAATTATTTATATTAAGGAAAATTTTGATATTTAAAAAGTTTTTTAACTTATATCATATAAGTTATATGTAGCTTTTTCTTTTTAAATTTAATATTTAAAACTTATTTAATAAGCTAGTAATTATTTGTTTTTGTTTAATCGAATAGTATATGTATCGTATATATTACCATTTTTTTTTATTATTTAATAATACACTATGAATGCAATGCGACCTAAAAGATCTATTGTGCGTCTAAGAGCCCAACTAAAATAATTCTAGATTATTTACAAGTCTCGTAATTGATGTGGTCTTAAGTTTACCTATTTAATTTAAGTCTATGTTTTGTCACCGCTGGACAGTTACATAGAATATGTTCTGATATTTTTTTCTCCCCACGACAGATTCGACAGTAATCACTTTCTACCGTATTTAAATTCTTCATGTGGTGATTGAGTGCACATTGTCCTGTAAGAAGTTTAGCGGAGATATTAATATCGTTTCTGCTAAGGCCAAGGATGCGTCAACTTTGATGGTTTGATTCCCCGCAAAACGGCTATGGACCAATGAAAGAAGTACATGCACCTTTTTTTGCTAGGGCTTCTGTTATTTCATTGCCCTCATGCCATTTATGTCCCAGTACCCACATAAGAGTAACATAGTTCCTAATTTTAATTAATTAATATCACTTCAAATGGATCCGTATTGTTTAGACAGTACTAAAGAGTAATAAAGATGGTTTTTAAGTAAACCAGCAGTAAGCTATGTAGTGCCTTAGCATTTTTTGAATCATTAACAAATTACTTAGTGTACTATGTGTGTAGGTGAACCTATTTTGTCGAGTTAAAAACATGTGTAGTGCCTTAGCATTTTTTGAATCATTAACAAATTACTTAATGTACTATGTGTGTCTGTGAACCTATTTTGTCGAGTTAAAAACATGTGTTCGGATTTTCTGCCAAGTGACCTTCCAACAATATTAGTTTCGTGTTTTTTTTTTAAATCATTACCGAAATATTTTTAAATTAATAAATAACTGAAATTAATTTGTAGTTTAATTCATTTTTTATTTTTTTTTAATTTTCCCTAATAATAAAATTTTTGTTATACATTAACAATATGTAAATAATAAACATATTATATGTTTGCTATTATATTTATTTTATATTAAAATTTTAAAAGTTCTATATACATTAAAATTTTTTAAAGCTTTAACTTCTACACTTCACCGCAAACAAAAAGAGTTATTAAGTTAAAGAAGTTAAAGTGCTCTCCAGAAAATAATTTTATGAAATTATTTTTAAAGACCAAGCATAATACGAGTATTTAAATTGAATATTAAGTATACGCAGTGTTGTACGCAATTCGGGACGCCTTTCAAACAACCTTCAATACGAAATTGAATTTAAGTTTGTACTAAAGAGCCGACTAAGAAGCAAGCGGCTCCTTGCAGTGTTGTTGCGACTGTTGAGTTGCTCTTAATGCTTGTATTTCCATAAAAATAACAACGTCAAAACAACAGCGAAATAACAATAATTCGCAAAATTAATGTTAAATGTAGAAAATATAATAAATTATTTATTAATGTTCACGGCATCTGACAATGTTTATGCAGTAAAAAAAGAATTCGAAAACCGAGCATACACAATAAAAAATAAAAAATAACAAAAAAAAATCCCAACCAAATAAAAGTCCAAAAAATCCTAAACAAATACTTTACCACACCCTAAGCATTTAATATTATTCGTAGTCTATAAATGCAGAAAAAGGAGCCAAAGAAAAACTCCCTGCAGAGCAAGTTTAAACCAATGTACCGCTCAGCTATCTCAAGCTGAATCTGAATCTGAATCGGTATCTGTATCTGTATCTGCATTTAAATGATTTTAAAAGTATCT